GTCGACACCTACCACATGATTTGGGTTGCCAAATATGCACACAAGACCTGGGAGGTACGTAAGAAGCGAGGACTACAGGACTTGAAAGACCACAACGAGCTACCAACCATGCCCCGATCAAGCGCGTGGGAAACAGGCGAGGCAGAACAAGAAGGCGTTGAAGCCCCTGTCCTCACCGCCGAAGAGCAAAAGAGGCTCGAATATCATCAAGCCAAGCTCGAGAAGTCACATACCTTCTACCGTCCCCACGAAACATATACACACCACGCCTTCTCCATCCGCCTCCTCATCGCCATCATCGTCCTTCTCGATTTCCACTCCATGTTCCAATGCGCACTTGGTGGTACAACCTGGGGAATCTACTACAAAGACCGTCCCAAGGAAGTCACCGCCATCATCCTGAGTTTCAGTCTTACCTGCAATATCACCGCTGGTATCATCATCGGCCGTGGCGATAAGCGCAGTCGCAAGAAGCTTGTCGTGGAACAAATCCTCCGCCAGGAAATGACGGAAGAAGCGCTCAAGAAACTACGAAAGGAGAGAGGTATCAAGGCCAAAGGACTCATGACGAAGAGGCAGAAAAAAGAGGTCAAGAAGGAATTGCTTGGTCCAAAGAAAAATCCGTTGGACACGATTTTGCATCGCGGATAGCATACTTACTTCTCTTTTCTTATTAAGTTGACGATGAAGATGACGGATAGATTGCATACTTTTTTTAATTCTATACCCTTTTGGCGGCTTGCGAACGCCTTTTGTTCTTCACAACGAATTTGCTCAATGGACCGCTGCTGTCGTATCTCAATTCTTCTGCACTATCCGCCCTTATTATTGCAGTGCTATTCATCTTGACTGGTCTAAAAGCACAATCGCGCTTGGGCGCCACACAGGATACCCTTTGGGTTTTGTTGAGTCCAAGCGACACGACCCTTGAAGCACACAAATACCCAGATTACCGACTGTTACCAACCTCCAGCAGACGCATACAAAATGCTCCACCAACTCTCGTACTATACAAACGTCCTTCCAGTTCTAGTTTCCATAGAGCCCAACTATCGCAGGCTATTGGCTGTCACACCCAGACACTTCTTCGGCACATCTTACCGAGCACTAACTCAGATGACTTAGTGCTGGATCCGATTGCAAGCCTAGAACTCATTGGCAATTTGACGTGCCGCTTTCCCCCCACCCACATTCGGATCCGATTGACTGACGATCACCACGTGTCCGACCTCGTGACGAAGTCTCAAGAAAACGCCACGATCTCATTTAGCGTCAAATGGCTGTGCAAGAAAGAATGCAAACGCGAGTCAGCCTTGAGAATGAGTCGCGAAGATCATAGAGTGCGAGTCAACAAAAGCCGTAGTAAAAGCAACAAACTCTTCGTCGTTCACACTCCACCTACATATAACAGTTCCACTAGTTGTTCGGACACATAGAGCCGCTTGCCACGCTACACGGTAAGATGCGGCCAAAAGATGTTTGGCGCGATAGCACTGGCAAGTTCCAGCAATCGGCGTGCCCAGGTGTGGTGTGTGTGGTGTGTCGTGACCCGAGGATTTGGGATTTTAATATCGCAAGAAAAGATCACCAAAGTCCAATTGTGGGTGGTTTGACATGCAACCTGCAGCGACGATCCATGTTTAGAAGTTTGTGCCCCTCTTCACTAAAGCTATTAATGCATGTCGAAGAAACATGGCGCAGACATGCCCACGTGTAGAGCGATGATGGCCCAAAGTCCTGGGTACACGAACTGTTTCCGGACTGGAAACCGATCAACCGCTCGAGATGACGAAAACAACCATACGCCTGCCATCATGGTGGAATAATCCACTTCTGTTCTTGAGATGAGAAACCTGCGTCTCACCAACTGAAACATGGCATGTACTTTTTTTCCCCCTAACCTTGTTCCAAGAAGCCTTTCTGAGCCTATTCACTCCTTAGATATAAACCGCCTGATGAAACGCCGCCCTACACCCTAGTAGGTAAGTGAAAGAAAGACCCACGATGAGTGGCGAATATGTCGATGATGTCGCGTAGGATCGGTATCATAATACATCTCGATACTGAAGGAATCGTAAAACACAGTCGGTAGATGATTGAAAAGGTTGTTGATGGGCTCATCTAGTCCTAGGCGGAAAACCCTTTCCCGTCCCTAGGTGTAAAAGCAGAAAAACAACGCTTGCTGAATGTCTCTCGATGTAACACAGAATAAAAAGGACATGATGGAGTCTTGATCGTCGAGAACCATATCAGCTGTATTGCCCATACAAGCCGGTAGCGACGTGGAGAAGGGTTGCTTCAACGATGCGAATGCTCATAAGGCCGCATACCGCCAAACTCGACACCCTGCATCGCACTCGACATTGCACCCGCATGTGGTGGTGGTGCCCACTGAGCCTGTGATGGTGGTGGTGGTGGTTGCGGGAGCCCCTGTTGTTGCTGTTGCTGTTGTAGAGGTGGAAGCACATTGTTACCGGGTGCAGGAGCTGTGGGTAGTCCTTGCGCAAACTGGCCAGTCATGCTTCCGTAAACATGGGTGTTGGAAGGATCTGCGCGACGAAGAGCGTTCCAGACGGCATTCAGTTCCGCCCGTAGCAATTCGTTCTCTTCTTGGGCTCTTCGATAGTACTCAGCTTCGGGTCTCAAACGGAGAAGCTCCTCACGAGCGGTTTGGTGTGCGCGAGTCAAGTTTTGGACGTATTCAATGGCTAGAGGGCACGTCAGACAAAAATGCGCAATAGTTCGACTCTCGAGTTACCTTTGGTGAGAATCTCCCATTTGCTTGACTTGCTGCCTGGGCTGTTGGGTAGAATTCCATTGAGGTCGTCGAATAAGGTTTTCATCTCACTCCTTCGCTTCCTTTCAGCCATCTTGTGACTGACCCGAAGCTCGGGAGTCCTGCTGTAGCTTCCGCTTCCGGGAGCGAGTGGGTTGGTAGGGTCAATAGCTTGTAGGCTCGTGACACTGCGATGTTGCATGGAGTGATGATGGGTACTAGGGACGTCTATGCTAATTAGTACGGCTGATGTAAAATAAGGGTGGGAATGCGTGCCATCATCCAGTCGTTGTTGACCAGGTGGTAGCTTAGAATCTGTGGTGTAGATGCTACTGTTGATCGATGTCGCAAAGCTACCTTGACGCGAGGGGACGTTTGAGCGGTCTACGCTAGACTCACCGCTGCTTGATGTCCTCTTCTCTTCATGATCAAAGTCGTCTGCCGGAAAGGCCCAAGCAAAACCCTTAGTCGGGGCCGCTGCCATAGGATCGGGCATACCAGACACGCTCCTAGGGTTAGGATTGATGACTGGAGCACGTCGTGGGGGATTGCTAGCACGTGGACCGGCTCGGTGGGGTGATAAAGGAGAAGTGCCATTAGGTCGCGTGACTGGATTTGTGATTCCGCGTTGTTGCTGGAGGTCCTGGACAAGCGAAGCTCGAGACGCGTTCTGGCTGTCGTACGGTGACTGTGGGTGGTGAATTGTGAGATGACCCATGCCAACATTCACCCGACTGTCGACACTGCTGCGTCGGGAGTCGAATTGAGAGGAGCCGGCATCAATACTTTGTCGACTGTTGTCGTATGGTTGGGAGAGCGAAGGTAGACCACCATGCTGCCTTTACATTAGACGAGTTCGGGGACAGTAACCAAGTCACGTACCTGGGATGGCTGAGAGTAGCCAGAGGGATACCGAGCCGATGACGGCGTCTCTGGTACAGAATTGCGTGATGTTGAATCATCAGAAGGGTTGAGTAGTGTTTGCAACTGTAAGCCCATGTGCTGAGACACATTGGATGAATCTAGAATGTGTATTAACAACGTGTAGTTGACAGATATCGTGTATACTCACGTTTGCTTGGGGCGATAGACCAGTGACCCGAATCTCGAACTTCACCTGCTTCTGTGTGCTGCCTAGGCTGTGCTGGGCTGTGTTCAGACGCGGGGAGACGGTTGGTGAGTTGTGATAAAGGCGGCAGGGACTGCTGGCCTTGGATGGCGTTACTTTGCGGCATATTGCTATGCGGAAGTGGACGTTGAGAGACAGAGTCCATGGCTGTGGAGGAGCACGGGAGGAGCACGAGGCACCTTTTGTACGATAGTAGTGCGTGCCCGGCTCTCGTGGTAGGGAGACAAAGATTGAGCTCGTGGTGGTAATAACTCGAATCGCTAAGAAAGCGGAGCCAGTAAGGCAGTGAGGAACACCGTTCAGCAAAAAAACTGGGTCAGACCACTCTGCAAAGTCGAGAAGATGGGGCCAGGTGGAAAGATGGAGAAGTAGAAGTAATAGAGGACCGGATTCCGGGGATTAGATAAGCTGTGACGTGGAATGGAAGTGGATTGCAGGATGGTTGAAGGGGTAATTCTGAGCGAGGCCGCACGAGATATGGTTCGCTCCTCCCTGAAGTAAGGATGGCAAGTTGGGTGAAGTGGGGCACGACGAAGGGACGCCAAGACCGGTCCAACTCGAATGGAAAGCGCAGGGCAGCGACGCACGCCAATTACCGCGAGAGAGACAGAGAGGCGACAGCGATGGCTGTGATTTCCAGATATGCTGGTCGTGGAGGATGCCCAGTTCACTTGTTCTGATGACTAGCAGTCGTTCAGGGTACGAGTCGAGACAAAAGCAAGCAGTGCTCCCCGTGCAAATCTACCACGAGAGTCGATGCTAAAAAAGACGTGGCTGCAGTGCTCTCCCCGGTCGGCGGTTGCTGCGACAGGGACAACAAATTGGTGCTTTTCCCTGAACCAGTGGGCACAGCGTCCAGAGGGCGGGATCTGGAGTTGACACGATGATGGCGCCCCAAGAGGCGAGTGCACGACGCAGGCGTCGAGCGAGGCGTGCTGGTTGCCGCTGCAAGAGAATTGGCCTGGTCAGGACGGCTGTGGTGCGCGATGGGTGGATGTCGTACAGGGCGAGTGGTGAGGTCAACGCAAGACACTCACAGTGCTGCGCGCGTGGGGAAGAAGAGCAGCGCAGTCAGCAGACTACCAGGTCAAGTACATGTCCTGGGACAAGGATGGCAGCAAGGTGCACAACAAAGCAGCGGGCAGCCAGCGGTCTAGCCGTAAGTACGACGTTCGGAAGGGACCTTTTGAAAGTGGAGGAGGTGCGGCGCAACAGAAAGCTAAAGGCGACGGTTGAGTCTTGACGAGTTGCAAGGGCAGCAAGGGAGCCAGCCAATTAATGGGTATGTTGGTGCCCAGAGGTGAGCCGACCGCACGTGGGAAATCGTTCAATCGAGGCCTCGTGTATCTTAAGCAGCCCGTCTAGCGGCGGCTAGCTGCACTTAATATGGGCTCCCTGCCTCCGCGCGCGAACTGGTGCGCTTGTCATATGGCGGTGCCGATGACAGCAATCCCGCTCTGCCCACGGCCATCGAGTGGGCAGGGCAGTCTCATCGGCTATGGCAGAGTTTGTCGTTCCGCACTTGCGTGCAGAGCAGATGCATGCATATACATACCGAATCCTGGGCGCAATAGACACGGGATGCGAGCATGGCAGGGCCTTGTAGTTTGTCGTCACTTTAGCCAAACCCGTGTTGCTATCCCGCCGCCCGCTGTACCGCCACGAGGTCCGCTAGCTCTCCACGCCTGCTACCCAACCGGTCAAAGCGCCGAGAAAAAGCAAATTCTGCGACGCTGTCCTCCAGTGCCGATCCTCACACATGGCCGCCTGCAGCGCGCATCCTTCTGCAGCCTGCATTCGCTGCCGACATGCAGTAGTCGGCCCAAGGCCACTAGCCCGTGCCCATGCCAAACAAACATGGCCATACTTGGCCGGCTAGCGCTTTCTCATACCACGGTACAGCTCTGGAGAACGATTGAAGAACACGTTCACACACGATCGATTCTCCGGGGACGCCGCCACTGCTGCCTTTCGTCTTGCTCCGATGCACGCACTGAACTGAACAAGTCTCTGCAGGGCACGGCGCTCCCGAACCCTGCTTCCCGCATGTAAATCAACCCGCTCCATTAACTTTTAACCATTCCTCCTAGCCCGACTTCTGCCAGAACTCCTGCAGCCCACAGCCTCTTTTGCCTGCCGATAAGCCTACCAATAATCCTTCTGCGGTTGCAAGAGGTGATACAGGTGCTGCGCCCACTTTGTATCTTCGGTAACACGTCCACCTTTTGTCACTGTCCACAGTTCTCGGTAGTTCTGTGGTCGACATGGCAGATGGTTGTGACCGTTACATTGCTGCTCGGAACATGCAATGCACCTGATGCTTGAATCCTTGGGAGCCCCATCCATCTATAAAGTGACACGAGACGCCATGTGAGCATCGACATTGAACCCATTTTGAGCAACCAAGCTGGGTACAACGATGTTCTCCGCTCTCTAAAACCATACATCGCATGCTGTATCGACTTCAGAGTTCTGAACCGCACATCGGCTCAGCTTGCTAGAGTCATGACAACAACAACCAACAAGGCCCATGGCTTCCCTATCGCATACCAGGATGCGAGCGTGTGAGGCAGAGGACCATCCCTATATGGTCATCTGGATACACAAAAGGACTAACCTCCTTAACTCCATCTGCCTTGACCAAACATGACCATCGGACCTGGACTATGGCCGGCAACCGCTGCCGACATATGCCCATTATTACGCAACTTTTGGATCAGTATCACTCGTTCGGTCCAAGCCGACCAAGCTACTCTTAGTACTCTACACCACATGGCGGTGTCGCCTCCTCGCACTGTACTCGACTTGATTGTGCTACCACACGCAGACCCGACGACCAGGTTTACAAACCTAACGGTCTTGTGTCAGGTGCCAGTACATGTTTTGTACTCTAGTACTCCGGTTGAGCAACAATGACCAAAGAGTCGACTCTGGGTTCCATAAGAGTGCCATGGTCAAGCGAACCGCAGTCGAAGATGGAACGACTGTCGCATCAATCACGTTCACACCCATGGACCCCACATGCTCAATAGCATGATTATTCAACTGATCTCATAGGTCCACTCTGCATCGAAGATCTTGCAGGCTAGCTATGGTCACAGCATTACTAGGCTGTAGGAGATAAGGTTCACTATGCTGCTGTGCCTGCAGGATGTATGGCAACGCTCTATGCACGAGGCTAGCGCAATCGGGCTCTAGATCTTTGCGAGTATGGATCGGAGCAGGAACAAACGATCACCGTATTTTGAATGACATTCTCGAACCCGGTCATCCTGTATGTCTCTCTTGTCCTCCGATGTAAGCCACAGACCGACTTGCATCATCGAACGCGCATATATGTCAGTTGCACAGACGCAGCACGTTATCAGCATGTCAAATCTGTTCAAGATACAGGTCTGAAGGACGTATGTTGTACGCGGACGCGTCAACTTGCCAGCAGCTAGTATCCGTTCATAGGTGGAACTGTTGGGGCGCTGACCGTGACACACATGCAAGACTACCCCAGGTAGGTCGTTACGCGCTGAAAGTCTATCGGCAAACAAGACCAGTCGGTAGAGCTCCCGCGTGCGTGTTCCCTGCAGTACATCAGTATACGGATATTGCAGTGACATTCCCCGAAGATCTGAGCCTTAGTGACATCTCGGATGCAAGGCCCCTGAAGTCGAGCCGCACAACGGCAGACCCGTACCTGAAGGCAATATACCTGTAATTGACAGAAGCGAGCGGTGCTGCAACGGTTACCTCTGGATTGCAGTAACACACAAGGTCATCTCGGTTATGATTACCAAGAGAGTATGGTTGTTGACCGGAGTCTTACCTCGATGCGGTGCAACTACCAGTGAAAGCATATCACCTCGGCACCAACCGAAGACTCCGCGATGTTTGTCAATTCGTCAGTTGGAGTGCGTCTGAGCAGCAGAAAGCTACAGCAACCATGATTGCCTTGTGATGCAAATATGATAGGTACATATTGCGAAGGTTCCGCATAGCACCCAAGGTACCTGTAGGTGCCAGATATCGCGATTTGCTTGCGACCCGAGTACGTGGATACGCTACGAAGATGACGGTCATTACAGACATGAATCGGCCCGTTCATCCATGGTAGGTGTCAAGCGCCTGCCTGATCCAGTGTTGCTAGTTCCGCGGCGGCTTTGCCACGACAGGGATAGGCCGATGGGCTCGGGGGGAAGCAATTATCACGTGAAGATCGTCATGGTGGTGCTGCGGGGCAAAGCTTGGTTTGCAACACGAAAAGGACGCGTCAATTACAGTAAGAGTATGTACCATGGCCGCCACTTCCACATCCGGGTTTGTTGACCTTCCTGTTGGTACTGAACAGGTTGAGCGTGAAGATGCGGTGTCATCTCATGTTTTTCCCTTTCTCAGACTTCCGCGAGAGCTCCGTGACCAAGTCTGTATTTCCGCCACCCTATTGGAGCCTAGTCTGATTGCGATATAGATATACCACTACACATTCGCAGCGCAAGAGCTCAGCATAGATAGGGCCATTGAGCGCCGTCACTTAAAGTACTTCAAGCCCAGCGCTGCTGCCATACTTCTTGTGACTCGCCATAATTACTTCCTTCTCAACCGTCAAGTCGCCCGCGAAGCGCTCGAAATTCTTTTCAAAAACCATAGCGTCTACCTCAGCTGCGGACCTTTTGTTCTCAAAGCGCTATTAGAGAAGATTGAAGAGCCTAACGGACCTGGCAGACAATGGCTGAAATGGCTCAAGAAGATAGAGTTGGATTGGCTAACGCTACCCAACCTGCAACATTACCCACCAGATAGAGAAGAAGGAAGGGACGTGTGGTACTGGGAGCACGATCAAGTAGAGGTTGATGTCGACTACGTACGAGGTGCCTACTATAGCGGCCACTACGACGAGTACGACCACGAAGGCAAATCTTACGACGACAACTTCTACGACGCTTCAAACTCGTCACTGTACCCATCCTTTCGCCAGCCAGCTACGACACAGCCCTCGAACGCAAACGACCCCTTTGGTTTCGCAGGCCACTACCCGTTTGCCGACCCAACCCGCGACCCTGTCCGCGAAGCCTCCGCAGCGGACATAGCCACGAAACTAGATCTCCTTGTCTCAATGGAAGTCACACCACTCTTCACATACCTCGCTTCACCCACTTTCAACCTGGACAGCATAACACTGCCTTTGAGGTTTATATCCCGTGGTTCGCACCAAAGCCGCAGCGTCTCGCGGCCAGGTTTCGCTCTACCCCTCAAGATCAGGTACTGGGTCCAAGTCTGCGTGCACGCTCTTCTGATGCTCGCTTCTCCACATACCGAGGGTACATCGACGTCAACACCGCTCCAGGAGGTACGCGTCAAGTACGCGCCCGTGGACATCTGGGCGTCCATGGAACCGACTGACGACTTGCGCCGTATTGTGGACGCTGGGGTCTGGTTCGATAGCCCAGAGGAGGGACAAGAGGTTGAGCGAGAAGGAGAAGGTGAGGCATTCCGTGCTGTATGGGAAGGTATGCGAGCGAGGACGACACATGAAGAACGCAAGAAGTTGGGGAGGAGGTGGGGGTTGAAAGCGGACATTACGTTTCTTCCTTGGGATGGAGATATGGATAGTGGGAGGGTGGGGGATGAACTTGAGATTGTTTTTTCCAGGGATGAGCATGTTGCAATGGCGGAGTGATAGAAGACATTGGCTTTGAAACAATTGTATATCAATGAATCCCACAAAGTATGCTATTCGAGCAAGAAGAACAGGTATCATAACTCAGTAAACAAACTTTGGTGTTACATGATCACCACACTCTGACATCTAGTGCACCATGTCGATGTCTATCCTACCAAGTCCCATACTAGAACCCATATTCCGTCACATAGACGTTGAAAGAAGATAGACTAGACATCGACAAAAGGAGACTGATGCGTACATGATGGCATCCACTACACGACGATAATCTTCTACGCCACTCTGGCGCCGACACTTATCTTCAAAACCTCAGCAGTCGCTCATCCGCAGGTACCAAAAACGAAAGCCGTGGGTTCGTAGGCTGAGACGCAACCTAAAAGTCCCAGAAGCTCTTGTCCGCGCCCTTGCGTCCACCCATACCATCGCCCTCGGTCTTGATGGCAGTTCCCCTTGCGCTCCTGCTGAATCCACCACCATTCTCCTTCTTCGCCGGTTCAGGGCTCTCCTCGAAGAGAGACCACTCAGTGCCCTTGCGTCCACCCATGCCGTTACCAGCAATGTTTATGCCGCGACCATCGGGTGAGTCGGCGTCAACGCCCCAGTGTGTCTTCATAGAACTACGGGTCTGGTTCTTGTTCTTCGTGATGTCCGAAAGGGCGCGCGCATCGGCCGGGTCGACGTCGTTATCTGTGACGTTGTCGGAGTAGAGGCCCTGGCCTTTGTTGCTGCGTCCGCCCTTGGTGGGTGCAGGGCCGCGTTGAGCTTCGGGAGTGCCGTTATCGTCAAAGTCAAAGTGCGCGTCTTGGTCGGGGCGGGCCTTGTGGACGATGGGTCGGCGGACAGGGGAGGTATCCTGAGGTGACATTGACGTTAGTATATGTTTCAGAAGTATATCAGAGACTTGGATGCAACCTGTGTCTCTGGCTGATAGAAAGCACCAACCTCGTCGTCGCTCCAGCCAAAGTGTCGAACCGCGCTGGGTAGCGTCTTGGGCTTCGACTTGTCCGGGGTGGCGAAGTCGTCGAAGTCCCAATGCGCATCGTTCCTGTTGCGGTTCTGGTCGTGCTTGGACGGTCGTGAAGTGTCTCGTACCTTTGGCGTCTCCTCGCCTTCTCCGAAAGTGAAGTGGTCGTACTTCTTGGAGCTGGTCTTGATGCTCATAGGTGCGACTGGGTGCTCTTCCTCGCCCTCCTCGAACAATCGGTTCGCCTTGTAGTGCTTTCCGCTGCCAGCCTTGGCTGGGATCCTCTGGGGTGACGGTGAAGGAGATCCAGCGTCCGCGCCAGCGAACAGCTCGGAGTACTCGCGTGGAGGAGGCTTCGCAGACTGCGCGCGCGGTGCTGACGGACCAGAGCTGTGAGACTCTTCTTCGTCCACCTCGCGGGGCGCAAAGAGGGCAAGCGATGCATGCGGGTCGTTCATGGCATTGTTTGTTGATCTCCTTGAACGATCGCTAATGGAGACCTCATCTACGCCACGAGAGGCCGACGTTGATGGGCGCGACGAAGCGCTCGACTCTGGCTGTGCAGCTGCCGCATTCGATGCAATCAAGCGAATCTGCTCGCTGCTGTCGCGGATAGGCCAGTTGCGAGAGCGCGCGCCAATGACGTCGATTTGCTTCAGGAGAGAGCCCTGGTCCCAGTACTGGCGGATCTGTGTGATCTTTCCTGACCTGTCAAAGTGGACCATGTGGACCTGTCACCGTCAGTGAACGTGTGGAGAAATGACTGGAAGGGTCACATACCATTGGGAACGTCACTGTGCGGTCTGTGACAAAGTTGTCGTCAAGGCCTGGCAGGTATGCGCCGCCGCCGTTGGTGAACTCAATCGTCGTCTCCATATCGACACTCAGGCCATTGCTGCTCTCAATCACATTCAGCACCTTCTCTTTGGTCTTTTTCAGCAGCTTCTCCTGAACAGACAAGTGCTTGATGATGGCGGTCGCGTCGTTGATGCTGGTCGTAGTTGTGACATAGTGAAGAGAGGCATTGTCTGCCAGCGCGCCCGAGGAAGGCGTCGCCAGGAACCTGGTGTACGTGTCGCGGAGCGTCATGACGCCGTATATACTAGCTATCTAGCTAATTGCTGTTGCGCGTATAGATACTGGGGCGAGTGTTGTGGTGGGTCAAGTGGGGTGTGATGGTTTGTGGTGATACAAATGTTGTGTGTAAACAAATGCTGTCGGACGCGCGTAAGATTATGTAGCAAGGCGGTGGGGAAGGCGAAAGGGGAACCACAACATTGAGGGCAACAGGCTCCCATATGGCCCGCAAGAGCCCCCGGTCTTCAATCGCAAGGTGTTGTTTATGCAGGGGTCCCGCGACAAGCCCCACCTGGGTCAGCCACCTGGACGGTGCCGGACTGCGGAGATCAACGCGGAGAACAATGTCATGCAGCTAACGGCGTCGCGGTGGAGATCTGGTTTGTTGTCATATTCCATCTTCGTTTATTGACTCGCTGTTGAAACGATAAAATCGTGGACATCGGAAGTCTGCCCATGTTTGCTTCTCCGTATCGCCAATCACTGGCGTGTTTCAGATGGCTTCTTCATTTGCCGTCAAAACCTGGACGCCTACAATTTCTACTTACAGACATAGAAAGTCACGGCTTCTCCTATGTATACAGCAACAACATACACCGACGACGGTCAGCAGTCCTTCGGCTCCCCTCGCTATCTCTGCCTGTAATCATGCCGTCATTACTTGCTTTTTTCTCTTGAATCATGAACTCTACATGTTTTTTGCGACGTGAAAAGAGCAGGGACAAGCGAAATGTGAACTCGGTGAGTTGTATAACGCGGCTAGAAGTCAGGTGGGGTATAATGACTCGTTGGGAATTCAGGTGCGGAACAACTGTAGTGTTGCTTGTACCAGTGCTGCTGAGGCAGTCGGAAGACGACTTGGAAATCGACAGCGAGAATTGCCTCGATACACTCTACGAGCTCTTAGAAAGCAGATCCAGAGCCACGTAGGCGTCTCGCTGCCACGATGTATCACATCAAGACCGCTGTACGTTCCGCGGTAGTTGGCTGCTGCTATACAAGGCCATCGAAACATGTCCCTTGACTGTCACTGTCATTCTGAACCTGAATTCTTCCCGTCACGCTCAGATTACAAACTCTTCGATACTTTCCATTTTGGCCATAAGACGCAAATTCACCAGAATTTTGTTCATACTATCCTATGCAGCGGTCGAATACTATCTTCGAATGGGTGGAAGATGACCTTCTGAACTTACTCTGCAAAGTGTCAACCACCTTCACTTGTTCATCGGTATTCAAGGCATCTGGCTATCACGAGAACTGAGAACGTTGCATCATGTGAATTGTTTCTACTTGAAGGATCTGAGACATTTTGCATAGAGTAGCGACACAGTCTGAGCTTTGTGCAATTCACATCAGGTTGGGTTAGTTTGCCTTCACTCCTGTTCAAAGGCTAAGCCTCACTACATAAAAATGATAGGCGACTTACCGAAACCCGGACCTTCCGCAGATTAGCACCGAAAGAGATGCAAAGCGGACGCTCTACCACTGAGCCACACGCCCCAGAAGTCGCCGTCTAAGAAAGATGGCTTAGTTAGATTACTTGCTAACATAGTTCAGTGCAAGACAAAACAGTACCACTTCACCTCTCCTCCGTCTTCCGGTAGAAGTGCACGACAAGGTCTTCGAGTACACAGATCACAGGCAAAGCGATTCAAGTATAGTGCGAGTTGATGCATCAAATAGGTAATAGGCTTCATTTTCAGCCAAACGGCGCATAGTAACGTAAATAGACCGGCCACCGAAATATAGCTGAATCTTGCTGTTATGTCACCAGATTCATACAAGCTCCAATTCATCCCCTTCGAAGACGAAAAACCCCAGCTAAATACGATATTGGTGAGTGTCTGTATCACGGCAACAGGGATAATGTCATCTCTATTTGCTGCCTTCAGTGCGAGACATGTGTTAGCCAAGAACTCTGCTAATTGTACGAGACTCAAGACAGGAATGCAACTTACATCCATGCACAGTATACAGCTGACCATACCAGTTATATGACCCAAAATGGTTACCAAGGCCCAGGCCCTCGGGACGACATTGATTCAAAATATTTTCGAACGCATCCCAGCATCTTTGCTGATCGTAGCCTCCAGGCCAAGTAAGTTTACCCCCACCCTGAGCATTGTAAGAACCGGAGTTCTTGTACAGTCCATCACCGCAAACGGTTTGACGAGCAGCGTACAACTGATTGCGGGATGAGGCGGGAGTCGGGCAGAGGCCGTAGCCCCCGCAATCTGCTGCGGAGACGACAGCTCCAGAGAGCATTGCGCCCAGGGCGATGATAGAGTTGAAGTGCATGTCTGTGATATTTGGGAGACTGAGGTGAGGAAGTGAAGATTTTCGAATAGAGAGTGTCTGTTGTGATGAGGATAACTTTCGGGATGGAGAGAAGGATACTTATACTACAACTACCTTCAGGACTGTATACCCACATACGACACTCTAGACTCTGTAGTCTAACCAGAGTGGTCAATATAGCTACACGTCACATACCACTTTTCCAAAGGGCATGCAGTGCGAAACCAACCGACTCCAAACTTACTTATTCAAGATGGATGCATGATATATCACTACGCCGTTCTCGCAACCCACATGCAGACTTGCCGAATTCTAGCCTGGTACGGAAGGTGTATGTCAAAGCGAAGATAGTCGTCCTCGTACAGCAAGGCATAAACTCCAGCCACACTAGGCTAAGAACCCTTGAGCATCCTATTGGTGGGTGACAGTGCGGACTGCGTTCCGTAGCCGCTGCATCCTGCGGCCCGCACCGAGCTACCACTGTCGCCTTGGCCTGTTCCGGCGATGATTCTCAAGGTTTGTACCATAGAGTAGGTACGGGCTCATCCGATCGTACCTAGGTATGTGGGTACGGCAACACGCATTTCACCAAGTGTCGGAAGGACAGGTCGAGGTTGTCCGGACATGGCACCGAAGTGCATTGTCGATATCATATGCAATGCATATGGTATGATTGTGTCTATCAAGCCCACATAATCACAAACAATGCTCAAGCGGCCTCGGCTATCTCATACTGAACAGCCGACTCAGCTCTCAGCATCCAATGAAATATACCACGACACTGGTGCTAGCTGACTAGTTCACATCAATACGAGGTTAACCGAAGCTTGAAGTACTTCAGTCCGGATGTGATCGAAGCCGCTCTTGGGCGTCCCACTTCTATAGCTGTCAATTCCAAGCGAGCTTGGTAAGTGCGGGGGTTGAGCGTCTATCAAGATCATAAAACCGACTTTTGAGGGAATATCCAATAACACGGAGGTTCATACCTAGGATCCCCGCCCAGGTGTATGGCCTGTGGGGAAGCTGAGCGTTCGAAGTCAGGAGCAAAGAAGTAAGTGGATTTGAGATTATAATGTTGAGAAGATATGGAAGCGCTGTGGATGCAAAGCATCAGGTTCGCCAAAAGTGCGGCATCCAAAACGCGGAGAAACCCAGCCAGCCACAGTAGACTAAGAGCACGGAAGTCCACATGGAATAAACTCCTATTATTGGATGAGTGCAGCAGCCTTTGTCGTCTTCCACAGTCGGTTTGCGATCTGTGGCAAGACATCCTCAGCGGCCATGTACTACAATACGTTAGCAAATGATATTATTAATGTTTGTAACACAGCTTACGCATGAAAAAACCTACGCGTGAATTACCACAATATCCACAGGATTTGGAGTTTGAGATCGGAGTTACCCCAAGTGTCTTCCAAATCCTTCATAGCTTTGCCACATGCACAGTCGTCAATGACATCCCAGGGCCAATCCACCTCGAAAGACTTCAAGCCTGAAAGAAGATGTAGGGGAAGATCCAGACAGTCACCACATTTGACTCCAATTCGCTGTATGGCAGCTCTCTGCTCGGGAAGTCGTGTAATGAGCCACTTCGTAAGAGACACTGTTCCGATCGAATAGAAGGTGTTAACGGTGTAAGTAAGCAACCGAGTTTCTGCGTGTACTTGTCTGCAAACTCGACTCATGCACTGTACAGGCCATTTTGGGGGGCACCGGCAGCTAACGGGGTGAGCCTGAACTGATCCTTCAGCTTGTACAGCGTAGGACCATATCAGGGTTCGTATTTCTGGGGATAGGCGTAAGAGTGCTGACTCCTCTGCATTGCGCTAGGCGCTGATAGCCTCTTAGTCATGCTCAAACACGATAAAATAATGGAATCGCACTCACATCCTGAGATGGTGCTGGTTCGGTGTGGACATGATGCGTAAATAGTTCCTGGTCAAGCTTCTTTTGGTAGGATCAGGGAAGCGTTCTGGTGAAATATGGGGAAATTGCTTGTAGCGAATATGTGGCGTGAAATAGGTGGAAGAGCAGAGCTGTGATCTGTTAAGTGGGAGAGGCAGTTGTTAGCCGGAGCACGGACGCTACAAGGTGAGGGAAGAGCGAGCGGCGCTGGCACGATAGCGCAATATGGTGTGGTGAGCGGCTCTGGCTTTGTAAGGAACGGGAAGCGATACTGGCCTAGTGGCAGTAACTGAGCTGCTTGGTCATAGGTGAGATAGCGCTCAGCAGGATGGAAATGATGAGTGCAGTGACGAAGTCAGTAGGTGAAGGGGTATATTGGAGTGATACGAGACGCTCGACCGTGTGGAAAGACGGCTTGTCCAGTTTTTGGACATACTCACGCTGGATAGAAAAGAAATGTACTCATACAAGCATACTCATCAATGGGTGCGCATCACCTAGTCGTCCGAGCCATCCTCCGGGAGCTCCCTCAGTACATCCTCCACAATGTCAATCAGCTCGTCAACATCCGGTCGCTCATTGGGCTCCAGCCTCAAACACTTCCTCACCACCTCTTTCACACTATCTGTGATCGCATCCTCAGGGTTGGCCTTTTGCTTGCCCCTCTGCATACCCTCATCTGGAAACCTCCAGTCACCACCCAATACACATATGCTCAAACTACCACCCGTCTCATCTGATCTAGCCTCGAAGGGGCTCTTGCCGACTAAGCATGCGTAAAGTGTGCAACCGAGCGACCAAATGTCGACTTTGGTATCGATGACTGAGCCGGTCTTAACGTCAAAGAGTTCAGGGGCGCGGTATGGCATGGTCGAATGTTCGGCGGCGGTATCTTGGATTTGTAGGGCAAGAGAGCGTGAGGTTACGGGTGTTGGTGATGGTGCGAGGGAGCCGAGATCCATTAGGATGGGTGTTTTGCCGTCATCGTCTATCATTATGTTGCCTGCGCGTGTTAGTCCCTGAAACACATCATCGTATGAGATGTGAGTTACATACCAGGCTTGATGTCTCGATGCGCATAAGCCCTCTCCCCACCAGGCGCAATACCTTCATGCGCCGCTGTGACCTCCGAATCTTCTAGCAATCCTTCTGCCTCTTGCTCGTCGTCTTCCTCGTGGTCGCGGTTTCTCCTGCTCGGGCGCATTTCCATGCTCTCTGCAGCTTCCGCATCTGCCCTCTTGGCATCTCTCCTGACTTTCTTCGCCTTGCCCTCGCTTCGCGCGCCGCCAGGTCCGCCCTTAATCTTGTACTGATGCATTGCCTTTAGCGCTTTGCAGACACCTAAGAATAGCACCATGAGTCTCCGCTCGGGGAACTTTGTGTGGTTGACCAGGTTCGCGTTGATCATATCTTGTAGATTACCACGACGGTAGTATGGGAGAAGGATGTACACTGTCTTCGCGGACGAGTCTGATTTGTCGGTCTCAACAGAGTAGTCAATCGAGTGTATAATGTTCGGGTGCGGCGAAAATAGTGTGTAGGCCTCGACTTCTTTGAGCGCCAAGCTCACGCTTTCTTGTCCGAAGGGACATCGTATCTTCTTGAGCGCAAGGAGTTGTTGATTCGAATTGTCTTGTACGAGGTATACATATGAGAAACCGCCCTATGTCGCGATAAGTCAATTGGTTGCGTGTTATCGAGAGATGCCCAGCTTACCTCGCCCAGTAACCGTAATATCTTGAAACTCCGACTGTTGATTTTGAGTTGAGGTGAGCTTGGGAAGCAGACCATGCAGTTTGTGAACGAGTACACGACGTCCAGGAAGTATGTGCCTAACGAACTCATTGTGGCGATTGTTATTGCGATTGCGATGTGTTTGTTTGCGAGCTGACGACAGTTATGGGGAGTCGACGCCGGATAAAGGTTAGACGCGCGGCCAATTCGAATCGTCGATTATGGTTATGAAATGGAGATTACGTTGGCGCGATGATAGGGTAATCCGAACGGAACGATGGTGAAGACGTGTTGTTTGCTAAGACAAAGCACAGGTGTGTTCGAGGATGCTGACGACGTGGTTCGTCCGTGATGCGCCAAGGGTGTGGCTAAGGTCCCGTACCCACGTTACGGGCCGAGAGCCAGATGCCACACTACGTGGGATTCGCACTCACGATATATACTAGCCAAATTGTCTTCATCCCATCTTAGTAAGCCATCTATCTCAGATGGCGACTTCTGGGGCGTGTGGCTCAGTGGTAGAGCGTCCGCTTTGCATCTCTTTCGGTGCTAATCTGCGGAAGGTCCGGGTTTCGATCGCTAATTCAGAGGTACAAAGTGAGTGACGGGATGGAAAGAGGGTGCAGTGTGTATTTATGCGATTAAAAATCTATCTTAATGTGAAAGAGGTAGCTAAATGACAGGCAGCTAGCAACCTAGTAAAGTACTAAAGGTGCGGATTGCTCGACCAAACCATCCATACACCGGTATAGCAGTGTTTTTGTCACTGCTGTTAGACACTTCTAGCGCACTTCTCCCGCACAGGCGTTTAGGCGCGTAGGCATTTGTTATAGCAGCGCTGCCCTTTCGCTTCTTTGAGGCATGATGTTTAATAAAATCTGGCGAAATTGGTGAGCTGATGGAGAGTAGATAGGCTGTGACAGCGTCTTCGAAGGCGTAGTTGAATGTAGGCAGTACAAGCTCGAACCTACAGAGTTTGTGCCCTATAGTGATTGTAGTTGAAGAAGATGCTATTCGCAATGGTGAGTTGGATGTGGTGAGTACGATGTTACCGGAGATAGCTGATGTGATGTGCATAAGCTCTGGACTAGTATTGCTGATATACAATGCACGGTCGAGTGGATCGAAGAACATGATGAAGTGATGCATAGCAATTCCGTTGGAGTTTGGTAACTGGTAATCGCTTGCTCGTGAGGCGCCAAATGTGAAGGACCGACGCCCAGCGATAGTCTCGAAGGTCAACCTAACGACACGGCGTTTAATCGATGACGTAGCATTGATAGACTTGTGCCAACCAATGTAGGGAAGGTTTCGTCGTACTGAAGTCGTGGCGACCGCGGTAGCTGAAAGTGGAACGAGTAGCGCGAATTCTGGCGCAAGGGGATGTGTCGAAGCCATACAGGTAGTGGGGAAGTGCGCGAGTGAACCTATACTCTACCAAATCACATGTCTTAGACATGCGTAAGACGACTTAGTATGTTTAGTTGTTGCGCTGAGAAGGCCCTAAACAGGACTGTACGCGCTGTATTATACCAGTCCAGTCGAATTTTCGGGATCACACTTAGTCGAATGGCGTGATAAACGAAGGCCCAGTCGAGATGGTGCCACCGACGGATTGGTACCTATTGCTGTGCCAATCTCTGGATGAACAGGACGTGGAAGCAGGTCCAAAAGATCTCCGGAAGTGAAGCTGGCTGGGCCTCGAGCAGTGTCAAGAACAGCCTCGTATAAGCTTCTGAGCGAAGCATGGCTGAACCTTTCGAACCGGGCTGCTAACGAGCCCGATAACTGTTCGTTCCACAAGTGAGAGACCTGACCCAGCCTCAACCCTGGATCCGGCCCTCCTCTCCGGCGTGATGGTGGACCAATTATGGGTCCCATATCAGCTACGCTCCCGAAGTAGAGGGGGTTGGTCCGTAGCATGATAAAAGATGTGTGAGGCGTTGTGAAGAGTGGATAGCGAGCATCAGAAGCTGACTGAATGCAGTATATCGGCGTGGGACGTGGAGGGGAATTAAGTTGGAAGTCGCTGGCGAGATACCGCGTCCGATGGGTGTTTTGGAAGTAGCTGTCTTGTCCGTGCTTGCTCCATGTATACCGCATGAAGATAAGAGATGGTATACACGCTCTGGAGACTAGTTAGTAGCTGTTCAACAAAGGCTGTGGTGTATGATAATACCCAAGACTATCCTGTGGAGGTCCACGGCTCTCAGGATCGTAAGCTTGTCGGCTCCAGCTGTTGCGCGTTGGTAAAAAGAAAAAGAACCCTTGCCCATTCGTGACAGCGATATCATTCAGCGCCATTGCATCGATCTCGTTAGGTGGGAGCCAGCGGTCGTTTGATGTATCGTGCGTCTTATCGTAGAACTTTTGCCCAAGGTAGTCTGAGAGTGAGTCATGCAGAAAGAGGCATTCGTTGATATCGAGGTCGCGTAATTTAGGTATGGGTTTAGGACGTCGAGATGGGCGACCATTTGGTTTTGGGGGGGTTGAGTCGTCCATACAGTAATTGAACCCAAGAGACCTGATGATACACGACGGTTTTGGGGACTAAGGCGCTAAAATGTAGTTAGGCAACAGAGCTAGAGGCGGTTGGCCTTCTCCGCTGGGACGACGAGCGACGCAGGCACTGCATACTTATGGAAACGCGTCAATGAAAGGAAGGTGGGTAATCAGTGCAGCGAGTTCTTGGCACTTGCTGCTAATCACCCCACGAGTTCCAAGACGCTAGAGAAAGATCACCAGCTAGGCCATGGCGCAGAATGGTGATGTTAGCCTCGCAGATCTCTACCAAGATCTTATCAATTGCCCGCCCGGCGTCACTCGAAGCACGAAACTCCAAACCTACTGCGAAACCTTCTGGAGTAGACTCAAGTACAACCCACTCCCTTCCTCCGTTCTTATCGATGATTTCATACGACTCCTACAGAACGACGACGATCTGCTCCTTGCCCGACTGGTCATTCCCCCTCTGCGACCGACAGTAGATCCTCCCGATAATCCCATATTACTAGAGATCCTAGGCCATATCAACTCAGACCGCACTACAATACAGTCACTTAACAGTCGCCCTCAGCTGTACGGCACCCAAACAAACGCGCATTTCCTCGAAGAAAAGCGAATACTCCAGGAGACCGAGCTGTACCGAGCGAGCCTCTTACTTTACGGCCACGGCAATACAAACGAAGCGCAGAGACAGAGGTTACAAGAGTGGCTTGCGGCATACCCTACCGAAGAGGCGGCTACTTCTGTCTTGTCCAAGCAGTAGTCTACCATTACACTTAGTGGGGGCGGGCGATGTAGGGAGTGGCATGTTTGGCCAGGAAAGCAAGTTTCGAAAAAATCAAATAATATGTCTTTTATAACTATGTGGCGATACGGACGCCTGTTCCACAAAAGGCTCTACCTATTCGTCCTCTTCACGATCCGACTCAATGAATACAGTTCGATTGACGTCCATCTCAAAGTGACGCTCAATCTGGCTCTGGTGAAGTTCAACTACCATGCTCTGATAACTGCATGGTGACCGTGCTTCGCCAGACTTCATTGGATGCGTGAAGTTATCAACTCCAGAAAATTTGTCGAGTAGCATCCACAACGCACCCCACGAATCATCGCGCTCGAAGAGAAGCGGCCCACCAGTGCCAACTGCGTAATCTGCTGGAATAAGGCGCGTGTGAAGGAGTTCGGCAAGAAGAGGAACACGTTCATCAAACTCATTGTTATGATGATCCGAGGAGTTGTTAGAATCGTAAAGAGCCCGCTGTGCACTGGTTGGGCTGATATCGTTCGTCGGAACAACCAAAACCGGACCATCAATATCGCGTCCTTCTAACCCAAACACATCGAAGACAAGCAGTCGATCCTGCCGACATGAATTTACCCTTCTAAAGTCAGTGGAAGAGAGACTCGGTCCACGTGAAGTTTGTTCCTTAGTACTTGTTATAACATGAAACGGAACAGTCGATGTCAGATAAGGTAATTGTGTAATTGTAGCAGGTGGATCGCCATGTGCAAAGAAGGCATCTTGCTCACACTTTGTCCATTGGTAGCGACAGTAAGCGAAATCCCCCATATCATTTCCACGGGAAAGAACGATGACAAGACCAGACAACCGAGATGCGCATTGTGACATCAGGGTATAGAACAACTTTCGATAGAACCAAGACGTTTCGTTGACAGGACTAAGGGGCAGGCGAATAGGCAGCGCCTTCTGCGTTGCGTCTGTGGGTTCCGACGGCCGGGCAGGACGGTGACCAGGTTTTCGTGGCTGTGGATTTGATTGAATGATGTCGTATACGTGTTGAACCCATCTACCAGCTTTGTCTTGTTCTATCCAGTATTTCTTCCAAGCACTGCTGCTGAAGTCGCCCTCCAGATCCTTCGTCTTGTAAAACTCGTCAGGGAGTTCGCGCTCAGGAAGGAAGAAGAACTGCGTCCAGGATCTCTGTTCAAGGTCGGTGTAATCGAACTGATAGAAGAGGAAGTCGAATCTGCTTGTGGTTAGTATAACTCCTCTAAGTGAGGGGGTAGATGTACTGATTATGGTGTGTGAAGTAATAGTTTAGACTACCCTTGGTGCCGTTGCGAGCGATCGCTACCTTGTTAAGTGGACTGGCTGGAGACCGGTATCGCCCGTCTATCTTGTGCTGCACGAATACTTGACGTTGTACATGCTGCATGGTACTCGGGACGAGAAACTTAAAATCAGCCAGGCAAGGCTGATGGTCAACGAAACCAAAGTGCATCGGTATCGCGTTCTCAGCACGGTTGTTTGCATTTCGAACGCTTCTCCATATCTCTATGATACTGAGGAAGGAAGTAAAGTGCTGTGAGTCTTCCTTTGGCATCAATCCGTCGTTCGCGTGCTCTATATGTGGCGACCAGCCAGTGAACCGAACCCGCGTCCAAGGATTGACATAGTCGCCAGAACCACGCGCGCATTCGGCCATGCTCTGGAGGGCTTCCGATAGTAATGCAATAGGCATTCGATATGGAGAGTTACACGGGCTGAGGGCGCCATATGCTCGTGGCGGGAGGAAGGACTTGCGGGAGATGTTGACCGCAACATTACGACCTCGATTGTCAGAAGAACCATTTTCTCCGCCATGTCGATTAGGAATGAGCTCCACGTAGCTTGGGTTGGCAGCACATATACAGATGTAGAAGGCCACCCGTGCGCGCTGGGACACTGGGGTAGTGTATATCTGGTCTTCGGCCCTGCGAGATACTTTACTCTTGATGTCAAACAATACGAGAAGGCGAGACCAAAATCGTGAAGAGCCTCGATCGATTCGTACATCTTCGTTAAGCTTCCAGAAGCGTTCGGTGAAATTGCCAATCGGAGGTATAACGTTTGGGGTAGCGTAAAGAGCGCCGTCGGCGAGAGCAAACTCAGCAGAGCGGATAACCAGGGGACAAGTAAGAAGCACAGCGAATATATCGGCTTCGAAAGCTGCACCGCGCCGTGCGGTAACGAAGGCATGTAATGGTGCGAGAGGGGCCTGATCGTGGGAGGGCATGCTTAGTCCGAAAGTTGTGTGGGGAATAGTGAGGTGCTAGAACCTTGGAAACCTTGAAAGGCGGCCCAGGGGTTCGCCTTAGCACCGTAACATCCCAGTCTACCGACGAGTAACGATGTGATCAGAACCACCAGCACTCTATCACAAAGACTCGACGGAATTATCCTTGTTCTCCACAAAGCTGCTATCTTCATTTGTACTGGACGATAATAGCTTTACCCAGCTCACGGTCTATGGACAGCATTTAAGAGGAGTAGATGCTCAATGCTCGGTCGACGAAGGAGGGGAGACCAGAAAAGATTGGCAAGCAGCCAATCCTCGCTGACAAGGCAGGAGCGTTAACGGGGGTGAGGCTGTATTCTCCGGCTGCACTAAAGAAAGCTGCGAAACTGGTCGGCCGTAACTTATCACACTGATGCTTATGCCCTTCTGCCAAACGTATATCCTTGTTAACTTCCTCTAGTGCTAAAAACATCATCATGCAAGGCTCAGAACGAAGAGAATGGCTATATGTGGCAGCTACTAGCGTCAGGCTAGTATAGCCAGCAGCTGGTCAACTTCGAATGAGAGGACGGCGGTGGCGGATGATTGTTCACCTTTACAGCATGGTCGAAGATAAAGAGGGTGTCGTGGGTAGAGGTTGAGTGGGCGATTGTAGGTTTTTTCCTATGATGGAGAAGAAACTTCGTGGATCGTAAGTGTTGTAGATGCTGTCTAGCGTGCTCACGTACTGACGTCTCTTACAACTTAGAACGTGGTTACTAAACCAGTCACAGATCTGAGCCAAGTGCCGCGGCAGGGCAGCGACAAGGAACATCTTTACTCATCTTGCGCATCACATCTTGGGGTTTCGCTTTAGCTATAAAAGACTCATATAGGATTTTCTAGTAGTATACATGGTAACGCAACACCGAAATGACAGGCTAGGGATGAGACAATAGTTACAAAAGAGTGTTGTGTGGTCCTAGGGACCTCAAGAGTGACTGTTGAGAACCAGGATAGCGTCCACACATCACTAGAGGTAGACGTGGCCGAAGTGTGATAAGCCCTGGAGTAATCACAGAACTTCGACAAGATGTTATTGATAGCTAACCCAACTCAGAGTTCGTCAGCCTCGTGCAGCTTTTGATCGGAAGGACACTGAGATGTGTTCTCAACGACACGTCGCGCAAACTCTCGGGTGAAGTCTTCAAAAATAGAAAGGGTTTTTTGAATGTCGGAGCAACGTGAAGAAAATGTGGCTCCTCCGGACTTGAGCATACAACGTGTGCTCAAGCTGTATCGCTGCAGGTCAACAAGAATGGCAGTCGTGTAGTCTAACGTCGCGGTCCAATTTAAGCTCATAAGCATCCGGCTTTGGCTCTCATCGCAGTACCAGAGTAGTATTATGGCCAGTCGTAAGACATGGTCCATAATCCGATGCTCTTCCGCATCACTGACAGATCCGTGCTGCGCATCCAGGGACAGCTTGCTGAGCCCGATGTGAATGGTAGGCATAAGCAGCTCAAGCGCGAAGTGGATAAGCTTTAGCGACAACTCCGGGTCGTATGTCTCAAGATCGGGTGCACTGTTGTGCTTACTGAAAGCCTTGACAATGTTGATCCAGTACGTACAGTCGCCGAGGGTACAGTAGTCATGAGCTTCAAAGTCGCACATCATCTCGGCGTAAACATCGGAGAGTCCGCTAGTGTAGCACTGCTGAGGGATGTGTGAAACTCGAGATTGACGTGCTTGCGGTGTAGCAGGTAGGCAGAGATGACGAGGAAAGCCCATTTCGAGACCTCCGATCTGTGCATTGTCGGCAATGGTATTGCTCGCAAAGGCGCCGCACTTGCTGACGATTAGTAAAATCCTTGTGGTCTAAGTACCTGACTACTTACAGCAAGGACGCATACGATGCTGATGTTCGCAATGAGTGAACTCGAGAACATCTCGCTGCTTTGGTCTGGACGCCTTGCGATGCGATATAATGGAGATGTGATACAAAGTCGACTAGGTGTTGCAAACTTGCAGATATGGTCTGAGAGAAAGAGTCTACGGAGGGGGTATGGCATCGATAAAGCATGTACAGCACCGGGTGTAGTTTTATAAACTGTCATTTCAGCCCTGACAAGTAAATATCAGTGCGTGTGCTTTGAGACATAGTAATTTTATGTGATCGCCTTTGAGATGTGTGAAGGCGAACAGATATCCAATTAAAACAAGATCCTACTGAGTTCTAGTACATGTCTTTGATGGTGTCAGAGTCTCATGCTTCGGTGAAATATTTCGACCGGATGTTACAGGGACTACTCAATGTGAATTGGGGGTAGGAAAGAGCCCATGTCTGCGGTCTGACTATCCTTGCGAGTCCTCACCTCTACAGTCAATCCAGTGCGTGAGAAGAGAGACTAGGTGAGCCTGTGAAGCGACAGTGAAAGCTCACTTTGAAAGGCTGCGAAGCTATCTGCGTCTGGGCATTCTCCACTAGTCGAAGCTTTGATATCCGCCTTAGATACTTTTGCAGACAGCTCTTCCAGACCATCCAATGCAGCTTTCCATCGATTTTCTTCGAGCCCAAGAAGCTTCTCCGCTTTCACTGTGTGATCTTGACTTTCTGAAACACTTGTCATAGTCGCTTGGTAATCGCCATACTTGCCCTTCACCATGGTTCTGTCAATACTGCGAGAGAAGGGGAGCCGCCAGAAGTGGGCCCATTTTCGATTCCTGACAAGCTCGTCATGGTCCATGTTGATTGTGGCGGAGATGTATTGCTGTGCTTTCACTGCGTCACCGCAATATGCTCGTGCGCTTTGTACCTTCTGTACGACATTTCCTACCGCCTCGGAAGCGACTTTGAGCGTGGCGCTCCAATTGGGAAGAGTCGAACATCGCATGTTACCAGGGTCATGATTCAGGAACTTAGCAATGCTGCTTAGAGGTCCTTTGGCGGCCTGGCTCGTCAAATGAGCTGCATCGCTGACGTCGGTTTCAGCTTTGATCAGCAGTTGGCGAATGTGGTCAGGAAGAGTGTTGAACATGGCTGAAGTAAGCGAGTTCGCCGCACCATCCAGCATGTTTGAGTGGACCGAAATTTGGGGCGATGCACTCCATAACGAGAATGACGCAGCAAGCAAGATCACACCGACAACGCCACAGACAAAAAGTGTTGTACGCGTGAATGTTGAGCGTTTAAGCCGGTAACCATGCTCATCTGAACCTTGCAGTGCAGAGGGTAGCTTGGGAATGTGCAACGTATGGGGCTGCTCGGTGTTGTGTAACTGCAGTTCTCCAAGAAAGTACGGATAGACAGGCTGCTGCTGGTCAGGACGCCGGTAGGGTACTTGGGTTAGTGGATATTGTTCCTGTTGTGCAGAAAGTTGCTCGGGAGGTTGGTTGCCAATTTCGGGTGGCGGCTGATTGATTGAACCTGGGGGAGGCGGTGATTGGTTCACAGTTGGCTGCCAATTGATGGGCGGCGGTCCGCTTCGGCGGATTCTCTGCAGTGTACGGGATTTCAAGCCCGCAGAGCGTCCAACAGGCTTCATGATGCCACTGATAGAGTCAGGCGCTGAGTATCGCGGTCAGCTCATCGGGTCGTCATTCTTATCCCCAACACTAAGTATAAATGCCCCTCAAACCTTTCGGAACTTCGTTGTCTCACTTCTTTACGTACATAAGCCCCTCTACGGTCCTGCGCGCAGCAGCAGTCCTTTGTCTCGCACTTCCACCATGTCCGCGCCTTTCCGTCTCGCCCCGCTCAGTTTGAATTGGAACAGACGCGAGTCAAACGACTCTACATGCGATCCTAACATAGAGCGCATCGCCGACGATGTTCTCATGAAGATTGAAAATTTCGTGGAAGAAGCCGAGCAACACTTAGCCAAAGGCGAAGAAGACAACGAGAAGAACGATCATGATTTCATATGCAGATGGATCACGACCTTTCAAACATGTCTCAAACAGCACGAACAAGCGGAGGAGAATCCATCCAATAGCTCGCAGTCGCAACAACGGTAGTTACCCGGACACGTCAATCGGCAGGAACCGACATACTGGTCACAAGATTCAGTCTACAGCTTCCACGAGGCCCTTCATAGAAGTGTCACCATATCCCACGTAGCCGTGCTGTTTTCCTCCATCTGTATTCTACCAACTTTGGCGAACAAACTCCGATCTATACCTATCCACGATTACGTTCACGTTGAGCACTTTCACCCTCATTCTGTTGTACCTTTCACCTTTCTCTAAGAATCCCCATCAAGAACAGCTACAATGTCTATCTTCAAAAAGCTTATCCTCGCTTGGTTTACGTTGACCCTCCTCTACTTTTGTAGGGAGCAAGCCTTCAATCAACTAGGCTCGGCTCTACCCAAACATCACCAGCTGCATGCAGTTGTTGGCTGGCTTCGCGAATGCACTTATATCATCACGAAGCAGATCATGAAGTTCAACTGGAACTGCTACGATCTAGCCGCATCTTGCATGTCCTGGACGGACCACCAGCTTCACAGCATTCACTCCATCGTCTTAAAACACACACTGAAGCTTCAGGTAATCGTCTAGCTGATCTCTGTATGCTTGCGCTGATCATGATTTTAGACCAAGGCTCCGCTGTGGTGCGCGCAACACTTTCCACCGAGCCTATCTGTTCACATTCACTCAGTAATCCATTCGTTCCTCGAGTCGGTCCTCGCCGTCCTTGATATCGTCAAACATGTCTTCCACCTTATCCAAAATGCCTGCACCCTCATAGCTACCTTCACACACGAAGCCATCTCATGTATGGAGCAGCCTCTGGACTTCTGCCTAGACTGGACCACGACATTTTTCATCTTTTCCTTCACTTATATGGGTGCCATGCTGGGTTAATTGTCAAGACGCGGAGGAGTTCGGCCAAAAGACTTTTAGTTATCACCTAAGGTTGACGTTATAAATATACGTTCAACTCTTCTCACAAAGTTGCGCATAGCACACTCTTTGCCTTTGTATCTTTCTCTTATATCTCGTGTCTTTCATTCAGTATCGAGACATCTTCTTGTAGCCACGACTTAGCAGCTCAGGGTGTGTGTATCACAGCATGGTAGAAGTGTATAATTAACAAAGTTTTCCATTCTTCATAACGTAAGCCCTATTTGATACAGAATCAGCTGCTAGATCGCTGCGCCCATGCCTCTTTGAATGGCGCTATCATCCATTCACGTATATTCACTGCGAGCTTTCCAATCTCCGTGTCGCGAAGCTTACTTCCAAGACCCAGGACCTCGAGATGAGCCATCGCGGTGGTGAAGTTGGTCCCGGAGCCAGTGAATTTGTGGTCGAGACTACCATCATGTTAGCGATTTGTTGTGTCTATCATCAGTGGATGCCGAGACTCACAAGTCGCTGGAGAATTGTTTGTGCAGAAAGAAAACCAGGCCGGGATTGTACAGCCGGCAGAGTTGGTTGAGCTTCTTGCCTCGAAGGCTCCACTCACTAATGTTGTCCATCGCAGTCTCAAGCTGAAGTCCTCCATTATGCTCGTCTGACACTACATCTCGGAGCAAACCCCTCAATTTCTCTTCCATGGTCTCACCCACGCGCCCATTACCCTGGGGGCGGATGATTTGAACAAGGTCAAACCAGAATAAGTGCCCAAAGAGGATTAGAATGCCGCACTGATCTTGCTGGCCCATCCTCCAGGCTGTCCATTGATAACGAGACATGAATGCGTCGCCTGTCTGTTCACTGGAAAGTTGTAGAACCTCATGCTTAGCACTACGATAGTTCAAATAGGGTGCTGCCGCGGCACCGTGTTTGGTAAGATGCTCGTGAACAGCAACTGGAAGGTCGGGTAGAGCAGCGAGATCCATGATACGCTTCCAAGGGTTCAATCTTGATTTTGAGTTGTTCGCTGCAGCGTTCCGTGGTTTCTTTCGTGGTGGCACTTCTTCTCCATCGTCCATAATAGCGCTATCTTGGATTCGACCACAGAGGATGTTCCATCGGTACAGGGTATCCTTGTGTTGCTGGTCAACAGGAAGATCATTCAGCGGCTAGAGCAAATGAAGTGTTAGCGCTGCCAAGTCGGGGGGCTACTTCTCGCTCACCTGGCCAGCTCTGTCCATGAACACTCGCATGTGTTCCATCAAGTCGTTGAATTCTTGGACAACTGCGAGCGGCGTATTTGTTGCATTCATGATGCTCGGGTACAAGGAGTCCTTGTGCACTGGAGATACCGAAGTAAGTGTGTTGCGACTCGGTTTTTCATCTCCCTCTTGCTGGTAAGGTTGTTGCTACACAAGGTAAACGAACATCATATCTGAGACGATTGCCAAGCGCACGCACTGTTGGCTTTGTGTGTTCTTTGGTGCGTGGTCCCAATGTCTGATATGTGTCTCTAGTCTGGGTTTCGTCTTCCGTTCATTGTCTTTGGTATACCGATCGTCTGCATGCTGTCTGATCACCATCACTCGGTTCATCTTATCTCGTAGATTGAATGGCCGTATACTCTACCCTAGTTCGTTAACTAGTCGCGCACAACATGGCTCAATATTCCCTCGTCAGTCGATATCTTATTATGTTTATGGTCTTATTACTAACGGAATGTACCATACAGAATACACTTCGCGCTATTATAAACTTCCTTCAAGGTCCACTTCGCCTCTTTCTCCATTTCGTGTTGCTCTACGCATCGGCCTTATCTTTACTCAAAGTCGTCGAACTCCTAATATTTGTGCTATGCGTACCACGCTTCCTCGATCCAGGTCGACTAGAGGATTCGGAACCGCTGGCTGATGCTGTGTATGCTCTGCTCTGTGTGATGATGGCTTCAGTATACTATTTTGTCAAGTACAAGAGGTGTGTGAAACCGCTCTTGCCAACGCGCTTGACAATGCTAAGTATGGACCGATTATTAGACAAATTCTTTTTGCTATACATACCAAAATCATCCAAGTCGCTACACGAGTCACTTGCTACCTGCTCTCGATCGACGATATCTCCGCCGAGTACATACGCATCAAGGAGTTGGAACACGGTAGTCCGTTCCAGAAACACCACGTCCACCTTTTGTACGATCTGATCAGGCTATATCCTGAATCGCAAATGACAACAAGCTGGACCAACAATGCACTATACCAGTGTATGATACGGAACGAAGATCTCCAGAATCAAATCACAACCTTCATAGAACAAAGCCATGCGGTTCTGAACGATAATACGCGACAGACCTCGAGCTTATCGCGCCCAGCCACACCGACTATTCTTCGTGGTGACCCAATCGGACAACCACAAGGATCATCGCGTCTCTCAGCCTCTTTGAGTCATTCTGAATCCTGGAGCGTTCCTAGCGAGGCATCTTCGTCGCATGCGACTGCAGATTTCGACCATCCCGAACCACTCTCGGCCTCATTCGCCGAATCACTCCCCGGGCCGTCTCAGGAATTGCAGCCTCTATCCGTCGCTGATAGAAATGAGCCTGAGGTGCGATATGCTAGTCGGGGTATTACTACATGGCTTCGCGTTACTACCGCGAAGTCAGCACAGGCCAGTTTTATTCGCACTGATATCAACGTTTCTGGTTCTACAATCACTGCTTATGGAAGTCAACATTGCCGCTCGCAATCTGAAAGGGAGCGCGACCCACAAACAGCTTCCTTTCATCATGTCTTTCCAACATCTGCTACAACAGATGACATTGCTCGCGGCCTCCAACCACTTGTGGAGAGGTTGATTGACGGACAGAACGCGTACCCGTGTATTTTTGTGGATGGTTACAGTGGTAGTGGAAAGTCGACTACCATCAATAGCCTAATTCGCAAGATTGCTCATCAGCTCTTCCTACATCCTGAAGCGCTGATCAGCAGAAGGATCTGCCTTGCCGTCGCAAAGCATTACAAAGACACCGCAAGCAAATTGGTATATTATGACCGAAATGCTGGTCATAGGCTGACGGGCGCAGCAGCTCTTGGGCCCCGGACTTCAGAAACCATACAATATTTGATGACAGAAGAACAGCAGGTTCTGAATTTGGTTGATCAGGTCACGAAATCCAAGTTTTGCCAAAGTCGAAGCACCGAGAATAACGATAAGTCATCACGCGGCTGGCTTGTTTATATCTTTACCGTCAAGACATCATCCGGTAAATCCTCATGCTTGTATATTGTGGATCAACCTGGAAACGAGCGGTCAGTAAGAGACCTACCGTCTTCTTCCTTGCTACCCTTCACTTCGTCGCATATGGTTGAAGCTACAAAGGAAGCCGCACGACAGCGCCAATTGGAGACCAATTTCATCAACTTTAATCGGTTAGAGCTGGGCAAATCTCTAAAAGACTACCAAGAGGGACATATAGTCCAAACCAACCGCACACAAGTAGATTCATTCCACTCGGAAACCCATCGGTACGCTGACACTGTTAGATTACGAAGCTCCTTAAGCCCGCATTCGACTCACAAGATGACGACATGGTCATGCTTTATCACGCCAGTTTGTACCAATCCTATCTATCCATGGTGCAACCCATGCTCCAAGCATCGCAACAGTTGTCGTCAGGTGTTCTCGGCAAAGATTATTCATCGAGGTCGATATCGATGTCGATATCGGAACCCTCAGGTGGCTTCCTAGCAACAACATCCACGTAGGCGTCCCGGAGCGCTTCCATCCAGCTATGGGAAGCCTGATATAGCTTCTAAGTGACAAAGATGGGCAAAGGCGGATTCTTTTGTGTTATTGGAGTCCTTAGCATGGCGATCCGCGATGACGCAGAGCAAAACGAGCCACTCACAACATCCTTATCTGTCAACGAACTAAACCAACAAGCTATCCACGAATAACGAACAACGCAAACAAAACCATCTCAAAATCGCCCTGTGTGGCAACCCGAATGTGTTAGAATCGCCGGCGTGGTGGTAACTTTGTGCGTTGTGAAGGACATCACTAACAATTTGAACTGGCACTTGGGTGGTGGTTCGATGGATAGAGTATTGGCGCATGCTTCTTCATCAAAATCGTTGGACGCCTACGTAAGAAGTAGGAGTTGTTGTCTCTAGTAGTGTCTGCAACAGCGCGTCCTGAAGTGCTGAGACTAATTTTTAAGGGAAGAAAAGGAAATTTGTTCAACTTCTCCACCGAACGCGCGATTAACGTGAGTCTGGTTATTTGCACGTAAAGATAGCTTGAGCGCGACAGTGCTTGCGATTCTCAGCTACGGAATCAGTACAGGATAGGTGATGCATCTATTTTGGAAGTGCGCGTTTCTTGTAGCGTAAAGTGAGGTGTAACAGATGCCAAAAACATATTACTGTTGTCTGCGCAATTAGAGCAGCTACTTACGATGTGACGGCGTACTTAAGTTTGACATGCTCATGTATGATGTGGCTATCTACTATTCCGGAAGTGCGCAACGCGTGACTAAGACCTGCGCCTTGATCTTGTGTAACACAAATGCACATCTTTGACAACAGCAATTTTGTTGTTGGGACTGCAAGTACCCTGCGACGCGATAGTGTGGGCGCTAGCGTGCGATGCCCTAACTCAGGTGTATGGCCCTGACGGACAACAACCTTGGGACCCTTGCACTCAGGCCTTCTTTTAGTTAAGCTTTACATCTACTATTTTATCTGAAAACTCATGCAGCGAATTCGAAATTGTCTCAATTCCTAAAACACAGTCCTGACGATAGCTGCAGTGTAGCAGTCAGACATGAGAGTTTCGTCATGATATACAGCAATGCATGCGCCTGCGGTAAGAATGATTTGGTATCGTGCGACCTCGGATATGCGCAGAACTTGAACGACACAATCGCAGGGAAAGAAACAAAGATAGCGGTGGGGAAACGATTTTGCATGTATGCAATGCAGGTCGCATAGCTGAGTGTCGTGTGTCGTGTGTAACTGATGTCTCAGACGGCAAATAGAAGAGGTGTCACTGCCTGGCCTTCTTTCGCGCTCAGGCGAGCCCCTCTTCATCAAGACCGCAACAGCAATCGCACATTAGCAGGTAGCTCACGCAACATATCAGCATTCAATAATTGCTGTCTGATAGATCCCTGTGTAAAACACCTACTCCATAGGCCCAACTTTCCCAACGACATCACTTTCGAGATAACTTGACGGAAGACATCTATACAATCTGGAAGCAATGGTGAAGCCACCTTCGCGCTACCAGCATCTTCCGTGGTACTCTCGTGCGCTTTTGGTTAGTAGAGTCATATCATGAAGGACAAATTCGCTAATACCAGTACAGTTCCTAGCCCAACTCTTTATTGCAGTTCTTTACGTCGTCGTTTTCGTGTACGCACTGTCTCTGCTGCTCGGTCTTCCTGCGGTTGGGATCTTGAGCCCCGAAGGTCTCGAAGATTTTAATCTCGTCATCGACTGGGTGTGCTGCTCCGCGGCAATCGTATTGTCTGTCGCATGGATCTGGTGGAGGTGCATGAATTGAACATGTGTTATCGACAGAAGGAAGCGCTGATATTACGCCATAGAGCGCTCATTCCTTCGACCTCAGCCTGGCAACACCAATTGATACAAGTTGGACGCACAAGAGATGGGCGGGGAGAAGCTCAAGAGAATGAGGAACATACTGATGTTACCGTGGGAGACGCCGAGAAGTCCGCATGTCCCGTCACTGTAGACCCCACTCAATGTTCCGGTGATTCTTGCGTCCTGCCCAATGACGTCAAACTACATTTCAAGCCATTCTGGTCTACCGTCAAACTTCACTCATGGCCGCCGTCTCGCTCTCGGACTGTATCAACTCTTCGGGACGGTGTCTTTCAATTTTATGCACTTCGAAGATTGTATCCTGGCGGCGTAGTTTCATACACGCCCTTGGGAAGGTACGACCTTCTTGTTAAGAGCATTTATATTGGCTATGATCCTAACTGTTTACGTGCAGGCACTCTTTTAGACTACGGAAGTCCATGAGGAATGCGTTCGCCATCGTGCTTGAGGGCGAGAACGCGTGCGTGGTTGCAGATGCATATGACAACTCAAGAAAACCTCAACACTTCTAGGAGGCCGAGGTTCGTTAATGGCAGTAGCGTTCGACGTATTCTCCCTCAATTCGCACTTCCGGTTGGACGTAGCCATATTTGTATCAACAGAACCCTGGCATGGCGATCTTTTTGACGATACTTGTATGCCTAGGGTACTGCAGTAGTACCTTCTGCTACTCCAATCCAGATGGGGAGAGTGTTCAACGAAATAACACAAGATGCTGGCATAGCGAATGCACTATAGAAAATCGTTTGAGCTACTTGAAATAATTCCAGCTTGAATACATGCAAGGCACAAAGGACCTGCGATCTGCAACATACTTCATTATTTGCGAAACTTGATTGATCCACCGTGGCCGTGTTTCACATGTTGCTTTGCTCGACATGCCTAACAAATCATCTACTCAAGACAAGGTCCCTCATCTCCGTTCAGCGTCGCACTATGAGCTTCGGTTTTCGGACAGCATGATACTCCCATTCTCAACGTCAGCCTCCAGGAAAGATCCACAACAGACTCAGCTGCTCCAGTTCAAGCGCTCGTCTCTCCTGATATACGACAATGTACTATTTGATATGATACCTGCATCTCCACCCAGGTGGCTTACATGCTTTATTGCCGCATGGCTTGCCGTCGCGATTTATTCCACAGCAGTTCACCAGCTCCCTGACTTCTTCGTTCAAGCTGAAAAGGTTCCCGAATATGTAATCAGTTGTCGTAGCAGGCAAGCTCATTGCTGCTTCAAAGATATCTGAGACTGCTACCTTTCTCATGGTTACGGCTGCAGACTGGAAGACGAAGCTCAAGACGGTAAACACTACAATAACAAGGTTGATGATAAGTGTGGCTAGTTGTACGGGGTGCGATAGAAGCCCGATGAAGACGAGTGAGCTGATGATGACTGTTGGGTTCAGCTCAATCTGTCTGAAGATCATTTGTGATCAGTTCTTAGTTGTAAATTTTTTTGAGTGGCTCTTTATACGAACGTGTTAGTGACGAGATGTTTCTATTGAGTTCTTTGTTGAATTCTCTCTCATGCTAGTGCGCTTAGCATCAGCTCTCGCATCTTCTAAACAGCTTTTGCTGTTTCTCCAAACCTTCATCTATTACAGCGACCGATGTAGTCTTCTCGTGGAACTACATGGCTATTACATCCCTTTCCGTCATAGCTTCTTATACGAGAAGGACTGCTGCGAGGCCATCCGGTTTGCTTCCAGGTAAGCCACGCTATGACATCCTACGATTGGCGAAGTCTTAGGCACAAGGCTGCATTTGCAGCGTCTGCGCCGCAGGTTCCCGTTTCATTTCTTCAACCTCTCTGCAAACCTTTTCATCCCTCTTCCAATCCATCATGCCTTCTTTTGTCCACTCTAATGTGTTTGCCGCGAGTGTTGTGTGCCTACCGGTGGTGTACGGAATATACTGCGACGAGCTCAACGACGCTTACATGGCAACGGTACATGGGTTGCTCTGGATTTGGCGCGTATGTGCTCCTGTCGCTTGGCTCTTAGTCGATGCGATCGACGTGTTGGTTTTCAGGAAGTTTCGTATGGTACGTATGCCAATTTCTTTGGTGCCCTGGTATTTTTACTAATATACTATTAAGACAGTTGTGACCATTTCATCTTCATGCGCCCCGAGCTATACCTGTTCTCTTATCAATCTAGTTTTCGACACACACCAGCGTCTTCAGCGGGAGATTGCGATACAGCTGAACAACATCACTGCAGTTATCTCAGTTGCACGAATATGCAGAACCGTGCTTTCAACGTTGATCGGGAAGCACCATGCCTCCACTGTCCTGGCCACCGCTGCTGTTACATCAATCACAATGCTTTGTGCATCCATGTATCTGATCGTGTTCATAGCTAGAAGCGTGACACGTCTTTTCTGCGCAGGTGTTTGCACGTTAGTTCGAAGCCCTGGCTTTGCAGTTCAGGTAAGCTCGCAGAGCAACACCAGGCCCTCTTCCAGCTCTATCGCTGACTTTACGGCAGCTGCCAATTCTTGCCACAATCCTCATTTGTGAGCACCTGACAGTATGGGTAAAAATGTGGTTCGAAAGTAGTGGATAGCTCGTCGTCGTCTAACACTACTGTAGTATGCACTCAACAACGCTATAACTATCGCAAATTTTGTACAATAATTCCCCCAAAAAAAAGGAGTGGACGGGCGGGTGATCTATCGTATCATGTTAGCGAATGAATTCGAACGGTTTGACTTCCTGCGACTTACCGAAACCCGGACCTTCCGCAGATTAGCACCGAAAGAGATGCAAAGCGGACGCTCTACCACTGAGCCACACGCCCTGTTATTGATGGTGATTACACGATTATTATCTTTATTAATCTACGGCAATGTTCACAGGCTACGTGTTTTGCAACTAGTGCTGTGGGCAGACACTGGGTCGGTTCGCTTGGATGTGGGGCTTGGCTGGAATTTCGCTTATTTAGCCGCTCGCCACGCATATCTATCTAGTGAGGATTGTCTCCATGTTGAATCATTAGTCAGTGACAGAGAAACGATTTTAAGCAAACAGGCTTGAAAAGCTCTATCGTGATTGGCGGTAAAGATGAGTAGAACTGTATTGAGTTTTGTTAAAGGTCTACTTCGTTCTATCGTGCCTGGTAATTTGTTCGTGCTAAATGTCCTAGCCGTTACCTCACCCTCACTTTTCGCAACACAATCTCTCTGTAATTGTTATATCGCGACATACGTACATTCTGCCTTGTTGATCTCATACGATATGTCCTCCACATGCTCGTGGTGCGGAAACGCGAGCAACTCATGTTTCGACAGCAATGTCCTTCCATTGCCGAATATTATCTGGGTCAAATCATAGATCTATATATGCAGGAAGATCGAATGCATCAAAGTGTGAGTTTGGACAAAGCGAACAACAAATTCTGAACGCGCAAGGCAAATGATAGAACTCGCCCTACGATTGTGACCAATCTTGTCGTCTGGCTCGATCCTTCCTGAACAAACCATCTAGATACAGATGACCACATTGCTAAGACAAACTTTCCCGATTCATCTCCGCACATCGGGCAGATGCGAGTGTCACAAGGCCTATAGTTTTGTTATAACTAAGAGGTGTTTCGAATCACTACTTCCAACAGATCGTTAACTTGATCTACGCTAATGTCAAACCCAGCGCAATCTCCCGCGCCCGTACTTGACACTGGACATCGTGTCTGCAGGACATGTAAAGCTCGTTATGTGGCGCCTACCGAGAAATATCTAAAAGGCAAAAGAAAGGGCGAACAGCACGAGAATTGCGCGTTTTGCAGGGGCACAATCTCTTCAAAAGACTTTCCGCGCGATTTGATGCTATCTAAACAAGACAAGTTGCAACAAAAGAACCAGCCCAAAACAGAAGTTGTTGAGCAGCAGTGGCTTGCTACTCTTAGTCCTGAGCAAGAGAGTTTACTACTACACAACCAAAGCACGATTCAAAGGCTTCCTTCAGGTGTGCTAAGCTCTGATATCTCCCGCGCCACCCATTCTGTACATTGGGACGCTATCACGGAAAGACTTAGGGACATTTACAATTTGGGGCGACTTTTCGAGAACTTTCAAGCCTCCGGCCTTATGGAGCGTTACAAGACCGAAGCAACTACTGTTACACCATCCGGGCTTCTTGCTGTGTCTTTAAACAACTGTGCAAATCGCAGTCGACAACCCTGTAAGTCTTACGTCTCACTTTGTCTTGTTTGCTAATTCAGGTAGTCAAAATATGCTGGCTTCGGATAGAAGGTCATCAAGTGCCTGGAAGTAGTGGGGCTGAAGCCGCACTCTTTCTTGCATTTGAGATGTGGTCACCCTCTGAGAAGAAGTGGTGGGACAATGCTACACCATCGCAGCGATTGAAGAGCTGTTCAACATGGGAGTGCCACATTCGACCGAGGTAAGTGGTGATGACTCTCGCTACTACAATCCTTCTGAACTAATATACTCTTAGCTCCAAGGCTATACAGATTCCATACACTGACATACGGTCAATGTCGTTCGACTTTGATGGTAAGATGAAAGATACCGTGCCGGACTGTTTACACGAATGCCTCTTGTGGGTACATAGAACTTTCGATCACGACAAAGTTGAGCAGCCCGGTGAACTGATCTTTCCGAGCGATCTCCAGTGTTCACCCAGAGTTCAGTACGACACTAGTGCCAAGCTTCTCATTGCCTTTGCCCAAGTATTTCATCGCTGTTCGTCGAAGGTAGAATGGCATAGTCTGCAACAACAGAATCTCACGAAAATACATGAATCAAGAAAGGCGCTGAGAAAGTTCCAAGACAAGTTCCAAGAACTCTTGAGCGCTTCGTACGAAAGACGTCGGGGTCCAAAGCCGGCGAATACCGAAAATGAGGAAGACTCATTGTGAACGGAGATGGAGGCATAGATCTATCTGTTTCGGTGAAGAGGGAAAGTGTTGAAATATGTAGACGAGATATTGATGGTAATGAAGAATGTGGTGTAGGTTATGTTCTTCACATAAGAGTTGGAGCTAGGAAGTTCAGGCTGGGGATTTGGAAAGTGAGGATCTTGCACCACACGCAAAGACAACAACAACAACAAGATATCACGTGTTCTAGCAATCTTACAACTGCACCCATACTGATCATACTCGAAATATCCCTACAAAATATTCAAGCTTATCTTAGCATGATAAAACCGACCCTTGCACAAACAAGCTTTGAGGTGCGTCGTTTGACGCTAAGTGTCCATTCGCAGTTTCTTGATCTCTGCTAATGCACGAGTCGACGAACCTGGTCTCTTATCGGCTGTACCGTAGGCCTCTCCACTTTCTTTCTTCGCCAGGGCGGTTAGTTCACTATGCTCGAAACGTTCGGCTGTAGAACTATCGTCTATGTCCTTCTCCTCGATAACAACGCTTCGCAGATTTTGTAAAGCTTCTCTGAGCACAAGGGTTCGCTGATGAGACTGCGCTTGCTTGCTGTCGACAGACTCTGCGTTATCGTATGTTTCGTAGCTGTCTCCCTGATGGATCTTCATGGTGATAGCATCAATAAGTGGACTAAGGATCTTGTCCTGCAGAACCTGTCGGATAACGAGAAACGTATACTGGGGAGTATTGGTTTCAGTAGGTGTCTCCCTCCACGTACCGCCTGGGGTTAACAGGATGCAGTCCCTTCTTCCAATGGCGATAGATACCCTGTCAACAACTAGCGCCATCCTCAGACTAATTGGTCTCAAGGTTTCGATAATAGTCAACCAGTATCTCCTTAGCCCATAATCGTTAGTTGGTAGTTCGGGTAGTGTCTGGCCGAGTAATTCTCTTTTCTCACATAGCTTCTTATGCTGTTCCCAAACGTCTGCTCCCCAGAGCTTGTTGCGGGCTGACTGTACCCACTCGGCGCCGCTCTCAACACCAGGCCTTAACTCAGGGATAATGTCCTGTAACCATGGAAGATCCCTTCCCTCCTTCTGGTAGCGGAGAATCTCACGTACGATAGCTTCCGCTGAAGGCTTGCATTCCAGAGACTCTAAAAGCTTCTGCTGCTCCTGGCTGTCTGAAAAAATCGAAGTACCTGCTACACTATGCAAAGATGACGGAATGCTGATTGGTATCGTGGCTATAGATATTGCGTTTTGAGCTGACAGAGACTTAGAATGTTTGAGGAGTTTTGATTGGAGATCATCAGATGGCGTCTGGATCAAGTTCTTGGGTACTATCTGGTTCTGAATCTATGCAGAAGTTAGCGGACTAGAGACAAGGCAGTAAGAGTATAGTACCCCGAAAACCTGTTTTTCAGCACGGCATCTGTGACACTGTTTTCTCCATTTTCCGTTCTGCCATCGGTCCTTTTCTGGGTCCTTTCTAAGCGTGCATTCACAGAACTGGTCTGGATGAGCTTCGTTTCCCTTCGAGTCCGTTGCTAAGGAGGATGAAATTGCGGAGCCATCACCTGGAAGTTCGCCATCGCGGTCGTTTGTATAAGATGAAGTCAATCGATTCATTATGCAAAATAGTTCTAGCTGATTCTGTTTAGACCTCGGAATGGCAGAGATCGTTGGCGGATACAGTGGGGTGAAAGTAGGTACGGACGGTTACCGTAAGGCGCAAAGGGTGGGGATTGCACACCGCGAAATCGCAGTACTGCGCTCAACAAAATGTTTGCCTGGTGCTAAACGAGTGTTTGTGCGGTAGCAAAGAGCCGTGGTAGTGTTAGCACACTGTCTAACGTTGATTGACCTTCTTGCGTGCTACCTATAATAGCAAACAGCAAATATATCCTCAAGGAGATGAACGGCCTTGCATCTATGTCTCCATATGAAAATCAAAAAAGCTAATCGATTGCTCACGGACAGATGTATTGTGTACCAGCACAAACACTGTGGGTCGAATGAGCTGGCACTTGTGCTATCGTTGTTCACGGCGGCATCTTGTTGTGGAGTTCACAATACAACATCGAATGGGATCAGCGCCTTGTCCGTGCATCGGGATGCGACAGATAGCCCTCCTCATCGATAGATAAGCCCGCTGCTCATCGCTTGCTGACAAGCTTATTATTTCTCTTCTCATCCCGTGTCAGCTACCGGTATTACGATGGCATCGCATCATACGCAGCAAAAGTTCGATGCACAGTCAGTAAAGGGTATCGAAGAACGTTTTCCACAAATTGTGGGATGGATGGTAGAGTTTCTCACTTTCCAAAAACTACATAACATCCTTACAACCAACCGTGGAAAAGACAAAATAAACATAGGGCTTATCAGAGGTAAGTATGCCTTTTCATACACCTTTGATATAGCGTTTTCTGTTTGAGCAGTCTACTGATAAAATTGTTAGGTCCCGATCATGTCACCGTAGATGGCGGATTCATCATTGATCCACCACTAGACTTTCCCTATGATGATTCGACATCAGCGTTACGTTGGGCCGAGAAACGTGCAGAACATCCCGGATTAGAGTCGCTCCAGATATATCGATTTGATGCAAAGATGGGCACTGGTTCCCCAAAGCCCGGCCAATGGGCTCCATTCTTCATAGTAACAGTCCCCCAATTTCCAAGCTATCTCTGTATCGTACCGATACGCTGCTGGGTCAACCTGCACAACGTCAACAGGCGACGTATCAGGGCTGGCCTGAATCATCTAGGACCTTCTTTGCGTACCAATCAGGAGATTGTGTTCAGTGATCTTTTGGCACCCTTCGCAGTACATGAAAGCGAGCTATACAACGCGCTTACCCGTATTGTGCATGCTTCACGTAACAGGACGACTTACATCAACCCAACTAACGAAGTTGAATTTCACGGCTGGTGTATACCCAAACCAGACACGACAACGCACAACCTCCTTGAAGTTCGTGAGAGGTCACAGCATACATCAAGAGTTGCTATTAATCGCCTGTTAGAGTTTGTGGAAAAAGCATCCGACATGTCTATCGCATTCAATCCTGTGGGACCGCTGGTGTGTGACATGTTTCTTATCGACCATTTGGAAAACAAATGTTACAACGTAGAGCACAAACATCTTGTACGAAAGCGAAGAGATGACATGGAATTCGACCCGGGATGGAACAATGCCAAACTCAACTGGCACTTTCTCTTTCACCAATGCGGAGACGAGTTAACCATCTACACTCGACTTGATGAAAACAATTATGATTCGAACGTTGCCAACTCTCACACGATCAACATGGCGGCGCCTGGTAGCGATTTGCAATTCATCAACACTATCAGAGCCAACGGTAGTGTGGCAAAGTCTAGGCTTCGTGAAAAGTGGAGGGATGCTGCCCACTACGATGCCACGATCGCAACGAACAGCATGTACGGCGAAGATGCTGGAGGTTCTGATGACTCTATCGCTAGCTACCACGCACACCAGATGGAAGTAGCTCAGGCTGGTCTCTTGTTTCGCGACAAGATCAATGAGCAATGTTGCAAACTACGTTACCACGCCTGTATCCTTCTTCACAACCATCCGTGCGCCAACGCAGTAATAGTCGAACACGCCTGGCTCCCTGATGAAGAAGAGATGTACAGAACTAGTGGCATACTCCCAGTATCATTGGTAATCAACACTGGGACTAAGAGGTGTATTGCCGTGAGATTTCTCCCTCATCGTGCGCCCGCGGAGTCAATATCAGCTGATGAGATGTCAATGTCACGACTCTTTGAGCCTGCTATGAATACCAGCTGGGATGTTCCTGCTTGCACAACCCAAGACTTCGTCTATGTCGCAACAACCGGCCACATTCCCGTTTTGGGCCAGATATCTTCAGCTTGCTTAGACACAGCTATTCTTCTTCCCTCTACCGAAACAACTATCCTGCCTGATTCAAGAACTTGTGAGAAGTGCGATGGGAGGCATCTACCAAGAGAATGGACATATGTTCAGCCCAGAGTCCTCGGTTCAGATGTCCAACGAAGCCAGCAGTGGTCATTGCTCGACTACCCCTTCCTGAAGGATAGCGCGGAGCCTCTAAACAAGGTTTACAACTTTGATGACGGTTCAGTACACCAATACTTTTGCGAAACCTTTACGCAAAATGACAGAAGGTTGATTACTACTCTTCGTGGACCAAAGGGTCTTCTACAACGGCAATGGAATCATGGAGACCTAAGACTAGCACACGACTTATCCCTCCATCCTACGTACCAGTGAGTTCTAACCCGAATATTGCCTTCTGTCTTCTACTTTGATATACTCAGCTGCGGTTAAAATTCGATGCTAATTCTCGCTAGTCTACTGCAGCGTGTCTTGGCCGGCTGGGGTCGTCCGCACGGTTCTCAAGCGAGCTCTTTTGTCAGTAACTACCGGGAGGAGTTGCGGAAGAAGCTCGAGGAAATTCGATCAGCAAGAAAAGAGATGAAACATGGAAAGACCAAGCTCCTTGCTTTGAGTCAGCTTGTAGAGAAAACGGACCTGGGGATCATGCTGCGCGATCTCGTCGCACTGTCTGATTTTACTACAAGCTTCCGGCTTCATTGTGATCATTGTTCAGACGAGAAGAGCTGCAAGTTCCTCCATCCTGATATCACGTACGCATTGCCCGATGAAGATTACAGTTGTGGAGAGTGCTACAAACGCCAAGCAACAGACAAAAGAAATCCGGTTCCCTGTACGATCATGCGCTTTCCTCAAGAACTCATCCGACAACTTCGCGGCGCTTTCCGAGCTCACGTACCATGCCACGGATGTTGGAAGTCAGGAAAGACATGCGATAACAGACCGGGATCATGCAATAGCTGCGAGGAGCTACAGATTGCTTGTGAGAGGGAAGCTTGCACTGCTTATCGCGAGAATAGAGACAACTGGTTTTGCCCCCACAACTGCGACCGAGCACATCACGACGACGGCTATACTAACGTCGTCTTCTATCCTAGGGATAGAGAAGGTTATAATGCGCAGCAGGCTACACGAAAAAGTGTTGTCGGAGGGGATCCGCGTGTAGCTATATGTGTTGAATGTTGGCACAATTCCGGAGATCGTCTGTGCACTAACGATCAGATATGTCCTCCCTGCAAGTTAAGGATTAACAAAGGCGACAAGGTGGCATGCAAACGACTAAGGTGCGACAAATTTGTCACCTGCTCTCGAACAGATTGCACGCTTGCTCACGCGGCCCAAGCATTCGGCATGGAAGATCTGAACGGACCTGTCTTGTTTCGACCACGACGACATGAAGCAGCTCCCAGATTTCCGTATGCTTAGTAAACCATCATCACTCATGCCTTAAACATTCACTCTATCGGAATTCACTTGCTTTGTACCCCTGTCTTAGGATCACCCGCCCGTCCAATTCTTTGGCTAAGATCAGCTCCTCTATCAAGATGTGCTGTCGACGATTTTTTGTTCATGTCGCAGCATGTCAAGAACGAAGGAGTTACTACAAACTTCATCTTTGGTGTTTGTTGACTATGTTGTCTACATTTTTTCACCTAATCGACAGGCATATATACAAGCGTATTATTGACTTGAGACCAAAGATTGGCGCAAGCTATATAACATCTTAGTGGAGGTATTTCTCGATGACATGGACACAGACTTGTACTTAGAAGAACTCAAAGATATAAACACAAGTGGCCAGATCCCTCGTAATTGTATCTCGACCCGCCGACAATCTATTCAACCTCATTATTTCTTACCCCAACAATGACATTGATCTTAACACGACACCGAACTCCACGGAAGCAATCATATCGCCCCCTAAAACAGGTATCTCAACTGCTACGCTAAATACAGGGGGTATTGTAGTTTTCTCATCATCACCTTCCCAAGTCGACATCGTCCCACTGCTCGCCTTGTCGTCTCCCCGCCAGAAACCCCTAGCAGCCATTTTACTATATTTCCCTCAGGGCCAAACATTCTGCGGCCTCTCGTCAAAAGCAAAATCAACCTTCTCATCCAACACCTCCAAGAAATTCTCTTCTGCACGATTAACATCGTACAACGACCTTGCAGTGTCCTCGCATTGATGATACCACATCCTCTCGAAATTGTACTCTTCTCCCTCCTTGTCGGGCATTATCGCCCACTCGGGTATCGCACACGTGTCCTGTTCCCCATCCATGTACCACCAAAATCTCATCATATCATCTCTTTTACTGCGCCAATTGTCGCGGTTCCACTTCCTTCTCATGGGTGAGTACTTGTCCCATCCGCGTATAAGACTGCGGTAGTGGACAATGGGGTGGATGTATTCGTTTGTATCGCCCATATCGCGAAGTTTGACCCACTTCTGTGCCTTCCTTCTAGCGTCGTATATCTCGACTTCTTCGTGGCCTGGCTTACGCGCACGTGCTCCAAGGAAGTGGTAGAAGCCGCCATACGAATCTACGAGAGGGCCTGTACCCCAGCTAAAGTCGAAGTTGGTGTGTTCGTGTGGGGGGTCACGCCGTGGAGGTTTGAGTTCGTCGCATGTGAGACTGAAGCTGGGTAGTTTCGGTAGTTTGTCTAAGAACTTCTCAAAAGAGCCCTCATGGTGGTAGGTACATGCGTAGCGGAGGCGGAAGAGCCAGCGCGTGTACTGAGCCATAAAGAGAGAGAAGGCATGTCGGTCAATGGTAAGATGGGGGGAGATGACTTGGAGCATCCAGCATAGAGTTGCTGTAGAGATATCTAAGCAAATATTAGTGTGTATATCTTGCGGGTAGAACACAATATCGCCTACTTTCGGAATCTCCTTTCATGTCGCCGAAAGCGTCTTGTGATCCACCGCCGCAGTTGGTATGAACACCTGGAAACTAAGAGAATCATCATTAGTGAAGTTTTCCTTCTTGGAGTAAGATCTCACATACCCAAACCTGTTTCAGCTCTGGCGTAGGTCGGTTCGGATCGTCAACGAGATCTGTGGGAATGTACCAGAGAGTCGGGCGGAAAGCCCTGCGACGCTCGTCCAAAGCCAATGCCTGATATGCATGCTCGATATCTATCGAACGGTTAGCAAGAAATGCATGTTCCTTGATAGATGAGAACTCACTCTCCGTCAGCTTGACATTGTGGAATCCGTACTTCGTCCTTGCCCGTGCAAGGTCTAGACCGATTAGGTCTGGTACGCCCAATGAGCCAACAGTATCCCAGACACCCACCACCTTCACCTTTCTACTACCCTCACTGACTGCAAGCTCACCGTGCGGTCGAATCTCCCACACTTCAGTCATGAGTCGAAGATCATCCATGCCAGTGTTTCTGATATCGATACCAATCTTCTCCATCTCTTCTCCTTTTTTGCTGAGCTTGCCCTTGGTGAACCACTTCCACGCTTGTGTTTCTCTGAACTCGCCGCCTTCCTCGTTTGTCTGGTAGAGACGGTACAGCTCAGGGAAGAACTGCATACTGGTTGGTGCAATGACACCGAGATCCGAGACCAATCCAGCAACCGCACGTGCTGTGTAGGCACCTCTCGAGAACCCAAAGCAGAAGATCTCATCCCCCGGCTCGTAATTTTGCACGATAAAGTTGTATGCTTCGATGACATTTTCTGCCAAGCCAGCTCCCGTGCCACCCTGTCGTCGCGCTTCAGAAGCACTGAGATTTCCGGTTCCTATGCCGGAGTCGTAATAGACGATTTGATGGAATTTCTTCGAGGGATCGTCTTTGTCTGCGCCAACACGCGCGATCAGCCGGCAGAGTCTTGTGACATTGGAGGGTATGTTGTTTTTGCTGCTAACGCTGGACTGCCACGTACCATCGCAGCAGATCACAAGCCGTCGTCTCCAGGCTTTGTTGTCGTCCGAGAGGAAAGTTAGTTTGGCCATTGCGAAGAGCGAGAAGTCTACCGCTCTCAGTAGGGCGCGACGCAGATTATAAGAATGATGATTGTGTATAAAGAAATATGCTGAGACGCCGATCTAATACCAAGACTGGAGTTTGGCGAACGCGAGGACGTTGTATGTGACACTCAGGGGTAAGCACAAGTACCAACAGATGAAGCTCACCGGAGATCAGCCACGATGCTGCATCCAGGCAATGAAGTAGCGCAGCTCTTTTGATTTAACCTCGCGAATCTCACATCGCGAATGAGCGGTGTTCCAACGCCCAGTTGGCCGCCTGAATCGCTAAAGCGCCTCATCGTCAAATCGCGACTGGCTGAAGGGGGCGCTGCCAAGTGACGTGTTTGATCGCGGCATGAAGCGCATCGCATCCGCACGCTTTGCATTGTCACCCGGGTCAGGCTGCGAACTACTTCAATGTGTCAGGCCTGGCGTGAGGGTGTCAAGTCGGGGCTGGAGGGATTGCTTCTGTTCTTCGCGTCGGCCCGCTACCTGGACATGGGGATGCGGCGCGCATTAATCCGCGGAAAGGACACTACGCGCTGACCACCATCACCCACTCGCAATGACTTCATCTCTCCGAGCTGGACGGCTGTGCTGGAAACAAATCTCAGGCGCATGTGTGGTTGGCTGCCGACCGAATCGATGCGGCTTTGATAGTCTCGGGGTGTTGCAGGCGGAGCTGATGGGCGTAGGGCACTACGATCAAGGCGTGTCAGCTGTTACTCGAACCCCGAATCAACATTCAGGTAGCTGCAGGCTCAACCACTATCCGATCCAAGATATTGCACCGACAGTCACGTCTCATTGTCAAGAATTGGATTTTTGTTACACCAATGTAGGTTTGTACACCCACGTTTCACTCGGCACGTGCCGATTGTCGCAAAAGAAAGACCGAAGTTGCTTGCGCCGCCTTCGAGGCGGCGATATACCAAATGACTTGTCATTCGCGTTAATACCCTGTATCCAATAGGTGGTCTATACTATCATCCAACATCAAATCGTAACCAATAGTCGCTAAAGAGCAAACCCATAAAGTGTCCCAATCCCTGTGTCGCAATATGGCGCCATTTTGGCGCAACCTGAGAGCACCGTTATGGCAGCACCAGGCGTACCTATATAACGCCCACCATCCCACCATGAAAAAGAACGCTTAATCGCTGAACATCAGAAGACGCTGTCCTGAAACATGTACGACAAATCCACAAGCCGTCAAAGCTATGCTCCGACTCCTTCGAATCTACCGCTCACATTGAGCGAGGCGAATTGCCAGCTGTATGTGGTCGACTACCACCATACTGAGATCCGTCATTAAAGCCCTCGAAGCTCTCGCCCGAGGACATCCGTCTTAGATCGTTATCGTCACCCATATCGACATCCTCCATCTCG